AACAGAAACAATATATATTTATGGCTCCATTCCCACTCAGGGGGCATGGGTGGCCAAAGCATCCAAGGTGCCACAATTCACTGTGTAGAGCTGCATCTCTTCGGCACACCCGAAACCTATGAATGTGGGTTCAAATCCCAGCTCGCCCTGATTATGTTTCTAGGTTTGTCAGCACCATACTCATGCTCATGGGTTTCACCAAGTGTTAAACATCTGGGACCTGCATCACTTTGGGCTTTCCTCCTACAATAATCAGTCCCGTCCTCATATAATTTGATAACTGTTAAAAGTGACGTCAGACCAAACCCACACCCCTTACCATGCTCCTGTGCTTGTATTTTGGACCCCCCTTCACCGTCCCTGGCAGTCCTGGACTGACCCCCCCCTTCACCGTCCCTGGCAGTCCTGAGCTGACCCCCCTTCACCGTCCCTGGCAGTCCTGGGCTGACCCCACTTCACCTTCCTGGGCTGATCCCCTTCACTGTCCCTAGCAGTCCTGGGCTGACCCCCCTTCACCGTCCCTGGCATTCCTGGGCTGACCCCCCTTCACCGTCCCTGGCAGTCCTGGGCTGACCCCACTTCACCGTCCTGGGCTGATCCCCTTCACTGTCCCTAGCAGTCCTGGGCTGACCCCCCTTCACCGTCCCTGGCAGTCCTGGGCTGACCCCCTTCACCGTCCCTGGCAGTCCTGGGCTGACCCCCTTCATCGTCCCTGGCAGTCCTGGGCTGACCCCCTTCACCGTCCCTGGCAGTCCTGGGCTGACCCCCCTTCACCGTCCCTGGCAGTCCTGGGCTGACCCCCTTCACCGTCCCTGGCAGTCCTGGGCTGACCCCCCTTCACCATCCCTGGCAGTCCTAGGCTGACCCCCTTCACCGTCCCTGGCAGTCCTGGGCTGACCCCCTTCATCGTCCCTGGCAGTCCTGGGCTGACCCCCTTCACTGTCCCTGGCAGTCCTTGGCTGACCCCCCTTCATCGTCCCTGGCAGTCCTGGGCTGACCCCCTTCATCGTCCCTGGCAGTCCTGGGCTGATCCCCTTCACTGTCCCTAGCAGTCCTGGGCTGACCCCCTTCACCGTCCCTGGCAGTCCTGGGCTGACCCCCTTCACTGTCCCTAGCAGTCCTGGGCTGACCCCCTTCACCGTCCCTGGCAGTCCTGGGCTGACCCCCTTCACTGTCCCTGGCAGTCCTGGGCTGACCCCCCTTCACCGTCCCTGGCAGTCCTGGGCTGACCCCCTTCATCGTCCCTGGCAGTCCTGGGCTGACCCCCTTCATCGTCCCTGGCAGTCCTAGGCTGACACCCCTTCACCGTCCCTGGCAGTCCTGGGCTGACCCCCTTCACTGTCCCTGGCAGTCCTGGGCTGACCCCCCTTCACCGTCCCTGGCAGTCCTGGGCTGACCCCCTTCATCGTCCCTGGCAGTCCTAGGCTGACACCCCTGCACCGTCCCTGGCAGTCCTGGGCCAATCCCGTGGGCAATGTGCTCACTGTTTTAACTGCTACACCCCTGGGAACAGAGCATTACAACACCACCTGTTGAGACTCGGTTTGCTGGTGTTGCCACCTACCTGTAGATAGCTCAGCAGACACAACCCACATTAACAATCTCTGGAGAGTTGCTGTTATTCACATTAACCATAAAAACAACTATTTATCAGTGTTTTGAGAGATGTTAAGTTATTTTTTTCTACAATTTCTTTCAAGTACAGTGATTAAAATGATAACCGAGGAAAGATTTAGATTTGTATTTTAACAGATTTGTTTGCCACATGAGGAAAGCATTTGAGTTCATTTGTTAATTTTTTTTTCAGAGAACAGGTTATTAATCTGTCAGCATCGCAGAAGCATATATACACATATTTCATATCAACATTGATAAATACTGCATGCGTCCAAGATTATTGCACTTATATAGCGACGTGCATGCACGTGTGTGTGTGTGTGTGTGTGTGCCTGCTTGTACTAGTCCAGACGGATGCCGATTTATAGTGCCAGCCCACCGAGATACCATGCTGCAGTTTAACATGAATACCCCACTCAGACACAGTATACTGACTCCGAGCCGACCAGTCCTTGTTTTAGCCCCTTAATGCCGAGCGCCAGACAGGGTAACAACAAGTACCATCTTTTAACGTCTTTTGGTATGTCGCGGCTGGGGATTGAACCCCGGACCTTCCGCTCTCCGGGAGGACGCTCCACCACTAGACCACGGTCTATTAAAATGAGACAGATGGGCTCAATGATAAACATTGTACAGGTTCCATTAGTGTTGTTACACGGGTTAGCGCAATCCCTTGAACATAAATGTGATTGTTATATATTCACCACAACTGCTTTTGCTTTACCGGCCATGTGCAGTGAACCTGACATGACAATTTACTCCAATATGCCCAGAAAAAAATGTGTCGCTTTATTAATGTGAGCATTTTTTGCATTAATCTCATCCTAGCATCAATTTCATGATTTACAGTAGTTATTAAGAGTATATCATGACTATTTGGAACATGACACCAGAGACTGCACACACACACCTCCTCGGTTCTCGGTCTGCTGGTTGGCGGCACTAGAACATGCTGACAAGACACAATTCTAGGGAAAACACATCAATTTGGCACTCCATCAAAACACTTGCAGTTTCTTCATGTCGCCAAGCTATGACTACGTCCTTGACGAGAATATTAGACACTCTACATTTATTATCATGCACAACATGTGCAGTATCTCATGTGTGTTATCCAAACAATGTTCAGCAGGCAAATAATCAATGAAGAAGAAATCAAGAAACAGATAAGTGTCAATTACATCCACGTCCACATCTGCTTCAGAAATATTATCACCAAAACTGCCCTCCAACAGAGCATATCGTCTTACAAACGACATGAAGTGAATGTTGCCATGATTCATGTTTCAGGTCCGGAGAACCTTCAACTTAAATACCATAGCACTTGCGTATTTATGTTATTTTGCCTATCAGGAAGCCTTGGGTCTTCCAACATCTGGTATCTGGTCAAGGAAAACATTGAGGAGTTACCTCCCCCTGTGAGAATGTTAACCAGGAGTGGGAAGTGTGGGGGCCAGTCATTTGTGGGTAAATTGTGGGAATACTTCCTAACATGACTAGAGATAGTGTTTCCAGTAGGTATGGACAGACACTGAATACTCTGGACGTCAGGCATATGTATGCTAACAATATTTCACTGTACACCATGTTTCAGAAAATAGTGGCATCAGGCCCTCCTATCTAACTGAATGAAAAGAAGCTTTATCAGAATCAATATCTTAATCCCTGGATATAAAACAATGCCTAGTGGAACAAAAAATACAATTTAAACGGTAAATAAACATGTCTGGTGATTTTATATCACAAATTTTGAATTTGTACTGACAAAGTTTCTCATCACCCGTTCGTTTGCCGGACTTCGCTGAAGGGTACGGTGTTATTTTTTCTGCGCATAATATTCAAATTTCTTTTTTTCCAAAATATTGAATCCGCTAGAGGGGGGTGCACATTATACTTGGGTGCGCACTATACTCAAGAAAATACGGTAGGCAATATAGTGTGTACAGCTACCAAGAGCAAAGGAATAGTTTCAAATGCAATATAAATGCAGTAACTAGCGTTGTAACAGCGGTTCTCACTGGAATTACCACACAGCCGGTACTGGTCTTTTTTATTAGTAATTCCTAATTAAAAGAAACAAGCCAAATGTCATTAAGCAGGTGTTTGAAGTGAGGTGAGGTGAAACGGGGTTTAACATCGCGTTCAAGATTATTGCACTTATATAGCGACGTGCATGCACGTGTATGTGTGTGTGTGGCTGCTTGTACTAGTCCGGACTGATGCCGATTTATAGTGCTAGCTCACTGAGATACCATGCCGCAGTTTAACATGAATACCCCACTCAGACACAGTATACTGACTCCGAGACGACCAGTCCTTGTTTTAGCCCCTTAATGCCAAGCGCCAGACAGGGTAACAAGAAGTACCATCTTTTAACGTCTTTTGGTATGATGCGGCTGGGGATCGAACCCCGGACCTTCCGCTCTCCGGGCGGACGCTCTACCACTAGACCACGGAGGTGGTCCCACCAGGTGTTTGAAGACGTCAATGACATCATGAAGAGAGGATCATGTTTGACATCACTCCACATGACAACAGTCTGACAGGGCAGCTGGACTGGGTTTATTAGTCAGCTGTCATGGCAAGGGAGGGATACTAGACTTGGAACCTATTTTGCCCTGTAGACCTCAACTATTGATACACACAATGATGTTGGACATTTTAACTTGGTGTGGAAAATATCAACTCTAGTCATCTTCCCGAGGCAAGGGAGTTAATTGACTTTACAAGTCCAATTTCCACCCTTGCCGTTCCTGGCTGGAATTCCTGGGCTCGATCGTAGCGCCACCAGTGCTTATTACAAGTTATGTCCCTTCTAAGCCTCTCCTATGGACCAATCAGATTCCACCTCTCGTCTCACTTGAATTTTATTCAAAACAGGACCTATATTGTGAAAAAACGGGTCTTACATCGCGAAGTGCATCAAATCACGTGAGCACCTTGATTAAAAACATGAAAAAACTTCGAAACTATCAGTTAACAACTAGTTGGCGGTGCACATGCTTTTTAAATCCTGCAATCGACCAAAATCGGCATGACAGTTTACTTACCGGATTTCGATTTTGTTGCGCGATTTTTATTGGACTATGCATAGACTCATAGTCCAGCCAAAATGTAACTCCACAATACCAGCCTAGTTCGGCAAGGGTGGAAACTGGACTTTTTTAGTCAGTTAACTCTCTTGCCTCGGGATGATGACTCTAGTAGTCAAGAAGATATATTTATCGTCTCCAGTCAGTCCATCAACCAGGTCTGTTGAGTGATGTTGCTGAGTGCTTTTAATGTACATTCAACATATGTGTAGATGCACAAATGTCACAGTATGATTTATTTCATATTTTCTCTTTGGATTTCAAAGAATTCCACATTTTCATAAAGCTTACCTGGATCAAAAGACCCATGACCTGATGAGCAGCCCTGGTGGTTTGGGCCTGTTGCCTTGGTCTTGCTATCTGGACAGCAGCCGTAGGCCGACCTCTCACACCCATCACCCTCACAGCCATAGTTGTGTGGGCCAGAGGCAGGTGTGACCCTGTCTGGACAGCAGCCGTAGCGGGAACGCCGACACTCCCTCCCTCCAGGGCTGCCCCCATTGGGACAGCCTTCTTGGTTGGGTCCAGAGGCAGATGTCTGCCCATCTGGGCAGCAGCCGTGGGTGCTGGTACCACAGTCGATAGACACTATTTGGTTATCTGCAGACATCATAAAACAATACCTTAGTCACAGCTGCTACAGAATTAATGTCATTCAACCCGTATATACTTGGAAAGATACTTGGAAGTGTTTACATGATATGCATAAACTTCAATACCATTCAAGATATTAAATTTACTGTATATAAACACCTAGAACTTAATTAAGCACCCCTGGTTTTGCCACCATATCTGTACAACAAGGTATCATTCATGTCAAGCCTGAGCTGTGATGGAAAATTAAATGTTTTGGTAAGATGAGACTTGACTAATGAAAACACAGAGAATGATGCAAATATTCAATATTTTAATTGCATTAATAACACAATTGCAATAGTACTGTAATTGAGCAAAATTGATAACCACGAAAACTAAGGATCTGGGAAGTTCTATGATCAGGTATTAACGTCCATTACTGTCCAAAAACGATCATTGTTATCTCACAAGCATAATTACAATCCTGAAAATCAGTAGCGAGTGTAACCGCCTTGTGCCTGGATGACTGAATCTATCCTCCTCATTCCCCCAGTGAATCTTCTGATACGATCAAGAGGTATCTGCTGCCACTCCCGATGCAATGCAACCCCTAAAGCTTCCAGATTCTGTACTGGTAGATCACTGCCTGCAGCCAACATCAAAGAATGTCCGAAAAATCTTCGAATGGATTCAAATCAGGACTCATAGCTTGCCAAGGCAAAGTGTCAATAGCATCTTCTTGCATAAATTCTGTACTAGAATCATGGGGTCTAGCATTGTTGTCCAAAGACACTGGTTGAGTTGCAAGTGCATGATTGTCCAAATGTGGCACAACAGGCTTGAGGATGTCCTGGATTTAACGATCACTGTTGAGATTGCTTCGCACTGTTACCAGTTTACAGCCATGAGATATTGCTCCGCTCACCATGACGGAGCCTCCACCATACGGGACTGTTGGTACAATGTTCCGAGGTGTATATGCAGTATTTCTGTGTCTCCACACCCACATTGGCCCCTCTGTGACGTGCAGCAAGATTCCGCTTTCATCAGACCAATGGATCCAGATTCCAATTACATTAAGCCATACCCCAAGCCAATCGAAGTCTCTGTTAATGAGCAGTTAACAAGGGACGTCTGATGACCCATCATGACTTCAACCAAAATTATTTGATCCAGTTTTGGACAGTTCTGGTGGACAGAGGCCTGTTAGGGAGCCATTGTTCTTTCAGAGCTTTACTTGAGGCAAAGGGATGTCTCCTCACAGCCCTGTTTTCCCTTAAATTTGTCTTTTGGGTTGGCCCTGGTCATGGACGATCCTTTACTTCATGTGTCTGTCGGTGCTTTCTTACGAGTCTGCTTATGTCAGTATGGTAAGTATGTCAAAAGCAAGTTGACGTCCAATGGTGCTGTAGGACATACCTGTGTCATACATGCCAATAATTTGCCAACAGAGTGCCTCAGACAGCCTCATGCATTCCCTGGTTACATGTGCTGACTAAACACTCGGAATATTGCCACTTTATATACCCTTACTGCATCACTATCAAAGTGCTTTTCTTGAAAGTCGTGGGTATCATGTTTCACATTCATATATCTTTTTGTTTGGGCGACAGTCAGTTATTGTCGTGACTGTACCCGAGATCGACTGCCATTCTATAAATGAGTATCAAGAAAATTTAATTTTCATAAACGGTATATCACTGTTCTTTTTGTCAGGGGGTGCCTAATTATTTTCTAGGTGTATGTTATGCTGACATAACCTTGAATGTCACATCAGGAAAAGGTACATCAATAACAATTTAAAAGGAATACTAAAGTAGATAGCTTCTTTGCACAACCAGTGTCATTAAAATCAGATCTACCTTTCTGGAAGGACACCTTCATAGAAGGTCGCGTCAGGTGAACACTGAGTGATCTTTGAACACCCACTCAAAATGAAGTATGTCAGCTTTCTTAATAATTTGCTTCATTTCTTTACTAACTTGATTCAGAAATTTCGATCTCAGTAAAAGAATAATGCCTCTTCACAGTACGCCCTGATAATGTATAAACAATCCACAACAATAAAATAGTGCAGCTCAGCGCTTCGCTCACTTGCACCAAGAATTGAGCAGCCTTGATGCTGACTGGCTGATTACAAGTTCACCTGACGCGGCCTTCCATGGAGATTTTCTCAGATCTTCATGCAGAGAGGCATCATAATGGAGTGAAAGATCTGATTTTAATGATATTGTTATGAAATCTGAAATCTATTGTAAGTGATAAACTTCTACGGCTGCCTGTGCGACTCCTACAAAGTAGATGACACTTGTAACATTTTGTCATTAATAATACACCTCACAGAAGCACTATATAAAGCAGAGGCCCCTACATGAATTTGGAATTAATCAATTTTGATTGCTCAATCAGAGGTTATTAAACAATAACCCCCTCTGATTTAAGGAAATGAAATGATGACCCATTCTCTGTGGAAGCTAACATTTACCAAATTGTATTTCTTTTTCAATCATTGTCAGTAGACATTTTTCAGGGATGTGAAATCTCCTCGGAAACACGGAAAATCGAGTTTTTTAAAACAGTAGTCCTCGGAAAAAATCATCTTCCTCATAAATATATAATAAAAGATTTTTAAAAAAATTCTCCGAAAAAATATTATCCTGTTAAACGTCGCGGATTGTCCTGTTTTCGATCAGAACTTTAAGCATCATATACCGCTTTACTATTATTCATGACACGATATCGTCAAAGTATTGCTTTCAGCCCATGCCTCTTCACTCAATATTTCCCAACACAAAAAGTTAGCTGTTTATTTAGTCATGGTAGAATAGGGATAAACATACATTGTTTTAAATGTAAAGCTAGGCTGAGGCTCTTCCAAATTCAACTTAATGCATTTAATTCTAGTGGTAGCCTATCACTACATTGAAAAACAAAATGTTTATATCCTAATTATTTGCTTAACTTATACTACAGGTACCGTATTTGACATAATAAGCGCCCCCCTCTTATAAGCGCCCAGGGCGATATTTGCTAATATATTGGCTATAGTGAACAATACCTATTAGCACCCCTATTTATTCGCGTATAATACGCATTCATGTGTTATATGCACCCTTAATTATGGGCAATTAAATTCTGGAAACATGTATCTCTCGTATATTAACATTTCAGGCTGTCAGCATAAACCACAAAATTTATCTTTCAACTCTGTTTTTTTCCCACCAAAATAATATTCTAATAAGAGCCCCCTATTTCTAATTTTGAGAGTGCCCTGGGTGCTTATTACGTCGAATACGGTACCTGTAGTATAAGTTAAACAAATAATTAGGAGATAAATATTTGGTGTATTCAATGTAGTGATAGACTACCACTAGAATTAACTGCACTAAGTTGAATGTGGAAGAGCAGATTACCAATGGACAATCTCCTGTGCCCCTGATGCCCCTGTACCTCCACTTCTTAGCCTGTGTTAGGACCAGAGAATGGCACACCCAGATAATCTAAATACCCTGTGTTTGCTTTAATACCTACAGATCCAGAGTTCAAGCCCTCATTACAGCATAACAACAGGATTACCCAGACCCGAGCCATCCATTCATGTCCACAACAGCCCCACTGTATCAACAGCTCCAGTGAAACTCCTTCAGTCCTCATACACCCTCAACCACAGTGTAAGTTTAGGGGCTAATAGCCATCTAAAGAGATTAGACTTATCACAAGAACTACCTCTGATCTTCATCATTATGTAATCCCCTAGACAAACACCAGCCAAAGAGGCCCTCAGGGAAGATTAGAGGAAAGTATGTGAAAGGCTAGACCTCTCACACCACCACCTATGTCAGCGTATATTTCACTGAGACAAAGCAAGCAGGAATACTTGATGGACTTGTAGTGCACTTTTAGGATTCTGTCATCTTTCATAACATGAATTCAATTACCATATTCGACGTAATAAGCACCCCACTCTTATAAGCGCCCATGGCGATAATTCCTAATCCCAATTAGCATCCCTTCTGATTGCTCAATGTACACAAGACTTATTTATTCGTGTATAATGCCGTATTTTCTTGAGTATAGTGCACACTTTTTTTAAAAAAAACACAGCTGTGTAAAAGCGGGTGCGCATTATACACGAAATAATGAGTTTTGATGTTTTTTCCCCCATGGAAAGACATTACCGTGAGCACATAACACAGGAAATACCATGTCAACAAATCCATACTGAAGTACGCAAATTAATCATGTAATTACACTGTCTGGCTATAAAAAGTGTTCTTTGTATATCTGGACTTATGTTTGTAACTTATTTCATTAATTTTATTCAAAATTCCTTTTAATATTGTTTTAATTAATTTTGGCCAAATGTGTTATACGTACCCTTAAATATAGTCAATTAAATTCTGGAAAATTATATCTGTCGTATATAAACATTTCAGGTTGTCAGCATAAACCACAAAATTTGTGATTTTTCAACTGTTTTTTTCACTAAAATAATATTCTAATAAGAGCTCCCTATTTCTAATTTTTAGTGCACCCTGGTCACTTATTACATCGAATATGGTTTTAACAAACATGAGATCAAAGAGCCATGCTCTGAACTGTACACACTTTCAGGTTTGGATCCCAGTTTGCTGCATCGTTATGACGGTTGGCATGTGAGACCTCCACCATGCCATGCTTGTGGGAGTCACCAACACACTAATGCTGGTTGTATAGTGCATGTGTAAGAGTGAATATCATCCTACCCTATTTTGTTATCCGGAGGACGAAATTCTCTAGTATCAGGATGATTCTCCTAGGGCTGGGACGGGTAACTCGGGTACTCGGGTCGGGTGGGTACTGAGTAGGACCCGGGTACCCACAGGACTACCCGGACCCATGGTTAGTCACGTGATATATTGTGTAATGACAAAAAGTATCTAAAACTCTATGTTTAAACTACAAGTCACTAATGTTCGCAGTTCTTCCTGACAACTTCGCCCATTCCTTCTGACTTTTATATGTTTGAATAAAAAAAAAACTTCAGTCAACTTCAGTGTAAACACCAGATCGTTTCATACAAGTCTCTTAACACATTTTACCAGAGCTACGGTCAACTTTTCCCAATCGGACATTTTGTACCTACCTCTTGAGACCTACGTCGGGTACCCGGGTAGGGTCGGGTAATAGGGGTGTGGGTACCCGGGTAGTAAATTTGGACTCGTCCCAGCCCTAGATTCTCCCACACAATTTGAACCCATACCAGTGTGTTAAATCCTATCAACATATATTCCCCCCCCCCTCATTTCTCATCCCACACTCATGATGAAAATGCAAGTATCAACATAAATAGCACTAGAATATTTTAACCTAGTGCCAGTTTTATTTATCCTAGTCATGAAGTCATGTGATCAGCTGACAGCATGAATGTCATGACAGCATGCAATGCATGTGCAAAGGAAGTCTGTCATGGGATAATATATACTGATTCAAGTTAGTGTAAATTATCCCAGGATAGATTTTCCTATTTGCACTTCGGTATGTTTCACCCGGATGAATTACCCAACCTATCCCAGATTTCTTACACTAAGGTAGGATACTATACTCTTGAGTAAAACTTCCGACGGGATAATATTAAGGTAGGATGTAATCCTTGCTTACACTAGCCCACCGAGATAGCAGGCTGCACTTACACATGGGCATGGTGTGAGACTGCCTTCGTGGATAGAGCATATACCTGAAGAGTTGAGATCAGGGGTTTGATCATCATACCAATAGACGTTTTAAGATGGTACCCTGCCTTAGGGTTGGGATGGGTAACTCGGGTACCCGGGTCAGGTGGTTCCTGAGTAGGACCTGGGTACCCACAGGACTACCCGGACCTGTGGTTAGTCACGTGATATACTGTTTAATGACAAAAATTATCTAGAACTCTATGGTTACACTACAAGTCACTCATGTTCGCATTTCTTTCTGACAATGCACCCATTCCTTCTGACTTTTCATATGGTTGAATAAAGATATAACTTAAGTCAACTTCAGTGTATGCATGAACGGATCGTTTAATACATGTATCTAAATACGTTTTGCATGTGCTGTGGTAAAAAAATTCCGAATCGGACATTTGTATCTCTTGAGACCTACAGTTGGTACCCAGGTAGGGTCTGGTAATAGGGGGGTAGGTACCTGGGAAGTAAATTTAAACTCATCCCAGCCCTACCCTGCCTAGCATTTGGAATTAAGGGGCTAAAACAAAGACTGGTTGGCTTGGAGTCAGTATACTGTGTGCAATGTATCTCAGTGGACTAGCACTATAAAACTGGTATTAGTACGGGCTAGCACAAGCAGTCATGCACACATACGCTATGTACATCGCTATATAATGAGTGAGTGAGTGAGTATGGTTTTACGCCGCTTTTAGCAATATTCAAGCAATATCACGGCAGGGGTCACCAGAAATGGGCTTCACACATTGTACCCATGTCGGGAATCGAACCTGGGTCTTCGGCGTGACGAGCGAACGTTTTTACCACTAGGCTACCCGACCGCCCCTCGCTATATAAGTGCAATAATCATGAACACAGCATTTCATACCATTTCGCCTCACATAGCTGTGAACATTTATGGATGAGTTTAAGCACATATGCTCTGATATAACTGAAGCAATGTTAAGAGCGTCATGAAACCTAACTCACTTGCGTGATCCTATTCTACATACATCAATTAATCGTAATTTGATATGAAATAAATGACAAGTATTTGTATTCACCATCATCACAATTTTCTTCGTCTGAGTTATCCCCACAGTCGTCGTATCCATCACACCGCCTGACATCGGCCACACATTTCTTGATGCTGCGGCACATGGAACTGCCTTCCTGGCAAGTGTTGACTGAAACAACACACCCCACACATCCATAAGTCAAGACACACAAACAGATGACAGTTCTAGCAACAGTTACTTCAGAATGGCAGAACTGTCAATATTGTCATTTATCAGTCAGTAACAAGCTAGATATACTACTCAAAAGAAGTTAAAGAACACCCATATTGTAATATGAAAGAATAGGGTGTTCTTTACTTTCTTTTGAGAAGTATTTTTTTGGCTTAGGTTTCTTATATTTTTACTTTTACCAGGTGTTCCTGTTTTTTAAGGTGAATAATTTACTTGCCCTTGCATGTGTTTGTGATGGGTGCCACCAGTGGGGCAGTATACGCTCACCGTTTTGTGAACACTTGGTATCATCATTATCTAACAGTAATTCATAAACACATATTTATGATATAGCCGGAATTGTACAATGGAATCTACTTTTAGCAGAGATTCTTTTAAATGGAAATGGTTTTGTGGCTTTTATTTAAAAGTACTGAAATGAAAGCAAGTAATTACTTGAATCAACACAGTTTTCTTCATCTGAGTTGTCCCCACAGTCGTCGTATCCATCACAGCGCTGTGAATCTGCCACGCATTTCTTCACTCCGCGACACATGGACGACCCAGTGCCACATGGATTGGCGTGAGATTCTAGAGGAAGGAAAACAGTGATGAATACACACTCTCCACGTCTAACAAGTTTATAATCTCACACATACTTACAGATTCACAGAAGACTATCACTACCAGACTGTGAAGTAGATAGAAGACTATTGCTACCAGACTGTGAAGTAAACAGAAGACTATCACTACCAGACTTTGAAGTAGACAGAAGACTATCGCTACCAGACTGTGAGGTAGACAGAAGACTATCACTATCAGACTGTGAGGTAGACAGAAGACTATCACTACCAGACTGTGAGGTAGACAGAAGACTATCACTACCAGACTGTGAGGTAGACAAAAGACTATCACAAGCAGACTATGAAGTAGACAGAAGACTATCACTACCAGACTGTGAGGTAGACAGAAGACTATCACAAGCAGACTGTGAAGTAGACAGAAGACTATCACAAGCAGACTGTGAGGTAGACAGAAGACTATCACAAGCAGACTGTGGGGTAGACAGAAGACTATCACTACCAGACTGTGAAGTAGACAGAAGACTATCACAAGCAGACTGTGAAGTAGACAGAAGACTATCGCTACCAGACTGTGAGGTAGACAGAAGACTATCACTACCAGACTGTGAAGTAGACAGAAGACTATCACTACCAGACTGTGAGGTAGACAGAAGACTATCACTACCAGACTGTGAGGTAGACAGAAGACTATCACTACCAGACTGTGAAGTAGACAGAAGACTATCACTACCAGACTGTGAGGTAGACAGAAGACTATCACTACCAGACTGTGAAGTAGACAGAAGACTATTGCTATCAGACTGTGAGGTAGACAGAAGACTATCACTACCAGACTGTGAAGTAGACAGAAGACTATCACTACCAGACTGTGAGGTAGACAGAAGACTATCACTACCAGACTGTGAAGTAGACAGAAGACTATCGCTACCAGACTGTGAAGTAGACAGAAGACTATCACTACCAGACTGTGAGGTAGACAGAAGACTATCACTACCAGACTGCGAAGAAGACAGAAGACTATCGCTACCAGACTGTGAAGTAGACAGAAGACTATCACTACCAGACTGTGAAGTAGACAGAAGACTATTGCTACCAGACTGTGAGGTAGACAGAAGACTATCACTACCAGACTGTGAAGTAGACAGAAGACTATCGCTACCAGACTGTGAAGTAGACAGAAGACTATCACAAGCAGACTGTGAAGTAGACAGAAGACTATCACAAGCAGACTGTGAGGTAGACAGAAGACTATCACTACCAGACTGTGAGGTAGACAGAAGACTATCACTACCAGACTGTGAAGTAGACAGAAGACTATCGCTACCAGACTGTGAAGTAGACAGAAGACTATCACTACCAGACTGTGAAGTAGACAGAAGACTATTGCTACCAGACTGTGAGGTAGACAGAAGACTATCACTACCAGACTGTGAGGTAGACAGAAGACTATCGCTACCAGACTGTGAGGTAGACAGAAGACTATCACTACCAGACTGTGAGGTAGACAAAAGACTATCACAAGCAGACTGTGAAGTAGACAGAAGACTATCACAAGCAGACTGTGAAGTAGACAGAAGACTATCGCTACCAGACTGTGAGGTAGACAGAAGACTATCACTACCAGACTGTGAAGTAGACAGAAGACTATCACTACCAGACTGTGAGGTAGACAGAAGACTATCACTACCAGACTGTGAGGTAGACAGAAGACTATCACTACCAGACTGTGAAGTAGACAGAAGACTATCACTACCAGACTGTGAGGTAGACAGAAGACTATCACTACCAGACTGTGAAGTAGACAGAAGACTATCGCTACCAGACTGTGAAGTAGACAGAAGACTATCACAATCAGACTGTGAAGTAGACAGAAGACTATCACAAGCAGACTATGAAACTGGACATTTCTGACCTCATGTTGTTTGTTCTCAGACTGATACATGTCAAGCAACAGATAGACTGTTTACAGTGAACTGTTGAGCTCATAGTAACCCTGGCACAATGGAAAAAACAATTTGCTCCATATACAATGTACAAAAAAAAGAGAAGAGCCCAATTAAGGGATTGGCAGATGCAGGCATTTGGACTGATTTGTGCAATTAGCAAATTGTTATTGCAGTCAAAGAAGGGCATGACACGCACCTTGGTTGAAGCTCTTGCTTGCAAGTCAATAATAAAAAAATCATCAGCAGGGATTTGCTAAAATAAAACAATTAAATATTTTCCAGAGATGAGGACCTAGTTGTTTGTTGTTTGTAACGGACAAACTGTATTAGACCACAATGATTAGGGTAAGTCAGGGCAATTGTTGTGTTTATCCACACCTTTCTCACAGTTCTCTTCATCTGAGTTATCACCACAGTCGTCATATCCATCACAGCGTCTCGAGTCAGACACACATTTCCTGACACTGCGACACATGGATCTGCCACGACCACATGGACTGTTGTTGGTTTCTGAGGAAATTATTTGATTAAAGATTAATAGCAGATTCATGCACAATTTAAATTCATGAATTTTAATTACAATTGTGAGACAGAAATATAGCAAGAAGCATGGTTTTATACAGGTTGATTTCCTGACTCTGAAGAAATTTGCTCTCATGCCCAACCATCCCAGAAGCTGCTAACCCCCTTTTGTACATGGGATGCATGGGTCTGTTTAGAGAGTATTCGGGACTCAGCAGTGTGCTATGCTTGATGCAAAAAAAGATTCAACCTTTGAAAAAAAATGGTGTACACAAATATTTCTTTTATATATTATATTTTTTTACAGTTTTTTTCAGTTCTTTTAACTTCCAATTGAACCCTTTTCTCATTGCTTTTGAGATTTGTGTAAAGTAAATACAAAGTATTCGGGATTCAGAGGTGCGCAATGAGACAGTGAAAAGTTAGATGGTATTGAGGATTCAGGGGCTAAGGGTGGGTGGGGGTTGTTTCCCTCATTCCAAAGCCTGCAGTAAGATTCCAATTCAAAAAGTGCAATGTCCAGTCAGCTTTATAAAAGTTTTGGATGTATTTTATATATTGTATTCGACGTAACAAGCGCCCAGGGCGCTCTCAAAATTTGAAATAGGGGTCTCTTATTAGAATATTATTTTGGTGGAAAAAACAGTTGAAAGATAAATTTTGTGGTTTATGCTGATGGTCTGAACAGTTTATATACGACAGATATATTTTTCAAGAATTTAATTGCCCATAATTAAGGGTGCATATAACACACGCGTGCGTATTATACACGAATAAATAAGTCTTGTGTACATTGATCAATGGAAAAACTCAATCCACAAATGTCCCAATCTCAATAATCTGATGACTTCAGTTCCAGTTTCATAAACTATGAAACCTCAACACCAGAGAATAACATGTTTTAATAGGACTATACCTTAAAATTACTTATAAATGCTATTGTGAAATATAAATTCCTTCAATCCAGGGTTCCGTTCCACAAAGCAATCATAGGGCTAAGACGATCATAACTCCCATACTTTAACACAGGCTTATGATAGATGTAGCGCTACGATCATTTCATTGAATTGGGCCCAGGATTGCTGCTAAACATGTGACTTCTACAATATGACCAAAGCCTTAAAGGTTTTCCATATCTTATAATACTACTCAACACTTGAATGGGATATTGGGCTATTTCATTATGCTACATAACTAGACGTCAGCAGCTGGTCTACTTGAACTGTGTACTATATGGGATACTATTGGTATGACAACATGTTCCAGTTGCTAGGCAATATGGGATACTATTGGTATGACACCATGTTCAAGTTACTTGGCAAAATGGGATACTATTGGTATGACACCATGTTCCAGTTACTTGGCAATATGGGATACTATTGGTATGACACCATGTTCCAGTTACTAGGCAATATGGGATACTATTGGTATGACACCATGTTCTAGTTACTTGGCAATATGGGATACTATTGGTATGACACCATGTTCTAGTTACTTGGCAATATGGGATACTATTGGTATGACACCATGTTCCAGTTACTAGGCAATATGGGATGCTATTGGTATGACACCATGTTCCAGTTACTAGGCAATATGGGATGCTGATGGTATGGCACCATGTTCCAGTTGCTAGGCAATATGGGATACTATTGGTATGGCACCATGTTCCAGTTGCTAGGCAATATGGGATACTATTGGTATGGCACCATCTCCAAGCAACCAAGCACACACATCCAGGTCCCACACTCAGAATATCACTATCAAATGTTGAATATAGTATGATGTAATGATGACCATATTTTTTTTTTCAGCCTTTAATACTTAAACACATAATTTTTCTGTTTTCTGTTCTCCTGTGCTATCATCAGTTAGATATGTTAAATTGGGACAAATCTGGATCAGTTTGTATTACAACTTTCCATATACTGGGTAATAAAAAGTCAATACAGAAAATTCAACTTTTTGTTACTGACCTTCAGTATCTGTTCCACATTTCTCTTCATCTGAGTTGTCACCACAGTCGTCTCTTCCGTCACATCGCTGGGAGTCGGCCACACATTTCCTGACACTACGACACATGGATCGGCCACGGCCACATGGGTTTTTGTTGGTATCTGTCAAAAAGTTATCAACTGATACATTTAAGGGGTAACTATCAGTATCAGACTGTTTCTATCCTTTCATTCAAAGGCAAGAAGCTGAGTGGAATAAGTTACGTTTCGATACAAGAAAGAAGGAGTGAAAAACAAAACATTCCAACAATTGTAGAATCTTTTCTACGTACATTGTAGATGACAAACTCACTTTCCACGCCTACATATTTACATTTTTCTATTGAATTCTACCAACTACAGATGCTTCTATATTAACCTTCTATTTCTGTCTGACAATTCTCTTCATCTGAGTTGTCACCACAGTCGTCTCTTCCGTCACATCGCTGGGAGTCGGCCACACATTTCCTGACACTACGACACATGGATCGGCCACGGCCACATGGGTTTTTGTTGGTGTCTGTCAAAAAGTTATCAACTGATACATTATAGATGACAAACTCACTTTCCACGCCTACATATTTACATTTTTCTACTGAATTCTACCAACTACAGATGATTCTATATTAACCTTCTATTTCTGTCTGACAATTCTCTTCATCTGAGTTGTCACCACAGTCGTCTCTTCCGTCACAACGCTGTGAGTCGGCCACACATTTCCTGACACTACGACACATGGATCGGCCACGACCACATGGGTTTTTGTTGGCCTCCGGTAAAAATTGTGGAATGATACATTTATTGGTTAACTTTCAACATAAAGCTGTTCAAACTGTTTTGTCCAATGAGTAGTTGAGGATTGGAGAAAGTTAATCGTCATCATAAGATTGAGCGAGTATGCTTTCAAAAATATTCCAACAATATCTCGATGGGGGACACCAGTAATGGGCCTCACACATTGTACTGGTACCAAAGTAGGGAATCAAACCAGGGTCTTTGGCGTGATGAGCAAAAGCTTTAACCACTGGGCTACCCTGCCATCCCTGTCATCATAATAGAGAAGCAGTGGTAAAAGACAATAATCCAGCTATCATTGAAAAAGTCAACTTGACCAATTCCATGAATTATCGCCACTCCAACACATTTTCATTTTTCTATTGAATTCTACCAACTACAGATGCTTCTATATTAACCTTCTATTTCTGTCTGACAATTCTCTTCATCTGAGTTGTCACCACAGTCGTCTCTTCCGTCACATCGCTGGGAGTCGGCCACACATTTCCTGACACTGCGACACATGGATCGGCCACGGCCACATTGGTTTTTGTTGGTGTCTGTCAAAAAGTTATCAACTGATACATTTAAGGGGTAACTATCAGTATCAGACTGTTTCTATCCTTTCATTCAAAGGCAAGAAGCTGAGTGGAACAAGTTACGTTTTGATACAGGAAAGAAGGAGTGAAAAACAAAACATTCCAACAATTGTAGAATCTTTTCTACGTACATTGTAGATGACAAACTCACTTTCCACGCCTACATATTTACATTTTTCTATTGAATTCTACCAACTACAGATGCTTCTATATTAACCTTCTATTTCTGTCTGACAATTCTCTTCATCTGAGTTGTCACCACAGTCGTCTCTTCCGTCACAACGCTGTGAGTCGGCCACACATTTCCTGACACTACGACACATGGATCGGCCACGGCCACATGGGTTTTTGTTGGTGTCTGTCAAAAAGTTATCAACTGATACATTTAAGGGGTAACTATCGGTATCAGACTGTTTCTATCCTTTCATTCAAAGGCAAGAAGCTGAGTGGAATAAGTTACGTTTCGATACAAGAAAGAAGGAGTGAAAAACAAAACATTCCAACAATTGTAGAATCTTTTCTACGTACATTGTAGATGACAAACTCACTTTCCACACCTACATATTTACATTTTTCTACTGAATTCTACCAACTACAGATGATTCTATATTAACCTTCTATTTCTGTCTGACAATTCTCTTCATCTGAGTTGTCACCACAGTCGTCTCTTCCGTCACAACGCTGTGAGTCGGCCACACATTTCCTGACACTACGACACATGGATCGGCCACGGCCACATTGGTTTTTGTTGGTGTCTGTAAAAGTTGTGGAATAACACTTTAAAGAAATACATCATTCAGGTTATAGCAGTCTGATACTCTAATCAACTACAATTAAATTACTTTAATAAATTACTTTTGACAAAAGTCAGGTCCATCTATTTCCATGGCTGAGCCAACTCATAAATCAAATCTTTTATCTTATTATTTTACCATATATTATAGTTGAGGTTATATTGGAGATATTAAAATCCTTCTGCTCTTAAACATTTGCTTGTTTGTTTGTTTGTTTGTTTGTTAGTTAGTTAGTTTGTTTGTTGCTTAAAGCCACACTCAACAATTTCCGAGGTACAGTGATCTGAAAGTAATAGTCTGGACCAGACAATTCAGTGATTGACATTATGAGCATCGATCTACACAATTGGGATACGATGACATATATGAAACCAAGTCAGTGAGCCTGACCAACCAATACCATAGTCGTCTCTCAAAAACAAGCATGGGTTGCTGAAGACCAATTCTAACCAAGATCTTCACAGGTCCTACATATTTGCACATTTCTTTTGATTGCTTCCATATTAACCTTCTATTTCTGTCTGACAATTCTCTTCATCTGAGTTGTCACCACAATCGTCTCTTCCGTCACATCGCTGTGAGTCAGCCACACATTTCCTGACACTACGACACATGGATCGGCCACCACCGCATGGGTTTTTGTTGGCATCTGTTAAAAGTTGTGGAAGATACATTAAAGAAACATCACTTTCCAGATTACTTGTAGCATTCTGATCCTTTAATTCAAAGGCGAATTAATGATTATAATGAATTCATTTTGACCTAAAACCAGACCAATTTATTCCAATGGTTGAGCTTCCATTAACGTTTGCAATAAGTACTTTTTTTATATCAAAATTACTCTCTTAATTTATTCATTAGCTGTTTAGGCGTTTCTTAGAAGTTTATGGTTGACAAAGTTGACACAAGTTTTGGATAATATTTTAGCATGTTCACAAAGTCATTATCCATAAATTGTGTCTACTCGGTTCTATTTAGATTTTGCCTTTTTCTATAACCATCTTGTTTCAAATTTGGTAAACATCTGATTTCCTTTTTGGAAATCAACCTGAAATCAACCTGGACAAAATCACAAATCTTATAATTTTAATATAAATATGATTTAATCCTTCCACTCCTACAAATTTACATTTTTCTACTGAATTCTACCAACTACAGATGATTCTATATTAACCTTCTATTTCTGTCTGACAATTCTCTTCATCTGAGTTGTCACCACAGTCGTCTCTTCCGTCACATCGCTGGGAGTCGGCCACACATTTCCTGACACTACGACACATGGATCGGCCACGGCCACATGGGTTTTTGTTGGTGTCTGTCAAAAAGTTATCAAGATACATTATAGATGACAAACTCACTTTCCACGCCTACATATTTACATTTTTCTATTGAATTCTACCAACTACATATGCTTCTATATTAACCTTCTATTTCTGTCTGACAATTCTCTTCATCTGAGTTGTCACCACAGTCGTCTCTTCCGTCACATCGCTGTGAGTCGGCCACACATTTCCTGACACTACGACACATGGATCGGCCACCACCGCATGGGTTTTTGTTTGCATCTGTTAAAAGTTGTGGAAGATACATTAAAGAAACATCACTTTCCAGATTACTTGTAGCATTCTGATCCTTTAATTCAAAGGCGAATTAATGATTTTCATGAATTTATTTTGACCTAAAACCAGACCAATTTATTCCAATGGTTGAGCTTCCATTAACGTTTGCAATAAGTACTTTTTTTATATCAAAATTACTCTCTTATATTTATTCATTAGCTGTATAGGCGTTTCTTAGAAGTTTATGGTTGACAAAGTTGACACAAGTTTGGGATAATATTTTAGCATGTTCACAAAGTCATTATCCATAAATTGTGTCTACTCGGTTCTATTTAGATTATGCCTTTTTCTATAACCATCTTCTTTCAAATTTGGTAAACATCTGATTTCCTTTTTGGAAATCAACCTGAAATCAACCTGGACAAAATCACAAATCTTATAATTTTAATATAAATATGATTTAATCCTTCCACTCCTACAAATTTACATTTTTCTACTGAATTCTACCAACTACAGATGATTCTATATTAACCTTCTATTTCTGTCTGACAATTCTCTTCATCTGAGTTGTCACCACAGTCGTCTCTTCCGTCACAACGCTGTGAGTCGGCCACACATTTCCTGACACTACGACACATGGATCGGCCACGGCCACATGGGTTTTTGTTGGCGTCTGTCAAAAAGTTATCCACTGATACATTATAGATGACAAACTCACTGTCCACGCCTACATATTTACATTTTTCTATTGAATTCTACCAACTACATATGCTTCTATATTAACCTTCTATTTCTGTCTGACAGTTCTCTTCATCTGAGTTGTCACCACAGTCGTCTCTTCCGTCACAACGCTGTGAGTCAGCCACACATTTCCTGACACTACGACACATGGATCGGCCGCGGCCACATGGGTTTTTGTTGGTGTCTGTCAAAAAGTTATCAAGATACATTATAGATGACAAACTCACTGTCCACGCCTACATATTTACATTTTTCTATTGAATTCTACCAACTACATATGCTTCTATATTAACCTTCTATTTCTGTCTGACAATTCTCTTCATCTGAGTTGTCACCACAGTCGTCTCTTCCGTCACAACGCTGTGAGTCGGCCACACATTTCCTGACACTACGACACATGGATCGGCCACCACCGCATGGGTTTTTGTTGGCATCTGTTAATAGTTGTGGAAGATACATTAAAGAAACATCACTTTCTAGATTACTTGTAGCATTCTGATCCTTTTATTCAAAGGCGAATTAATGATTATAATGAATTCATTTTGACCTACAACCAGACCAATTTATTCGAATGGTTGAGCTTCCATTAACGTTTGCAATAAGTACTTTTTTTATATCAAAATTACTCTCTTATATTTATTCATTAGCTGTTTAGGCGTTTCTTAGAAGTTTATGGTTGACAAAGTTGACACAAGTTTTGGATAATATTTTAGCATGTTCACAAAGTCATTATCCATAAATTGTGTCTACTCGGTTCTATTTAGATTATGCCTTTTTCTATAACCATCTTCTTTCAAATTTGGTAAACATCTGATTTCCTTTTTGGAAATCAACCTGAAATCAACCTGGACAAAATCACAAATCTTATAATTTTAATATAAATATGATTTAATCCTTCCACTCCTACATATTTACATTTTTCTACTGAATTCTACCAACTACAGATGCTTCTATATTAACCTTCTATTTCTGTCTGACAATTCTCTTCATCTGAGTTGTCACCACAGTCGTCTCTTCCGTCACAACGCTGTGAGTCGGCCACACATTTCCTGACACTACGACACATGGATCGGCCACGGCCACAAGGATTTTTGTTGGTGTCTGTTAAAAGTTGTGCAATGACACTTTAAAGAAAAACATCATTCAGGTTATAGTATTCTGATACTCTAATAAACTACAATTAAATTACTTTAATAAATTACTTTTGACAAAAGTCAGGTCCATCTATTTCCACGGCTGAGCCAACTCATAAATCAAATCTTTTATCTTATTATTTTAACATATATTATAGTAGAGGTTATATTGGAGATATTTAAATCCTTCCGCTCTTAAACATTTGCTTGTTTGTTTGTTTGTTTGTTTGTTTGTTTGTTAGTTAGTTTGTTTGTTGCTTAAAGCCACACTCAACAATTTCCCAAGTGCAGTGATCTGAAGGTAATAGTCTGGACCAGACAATTCAGTGATAGACATTATGAACATCGATCTACACAACTGGGATACGATGACATATATGAAACCAAGTCAGTGAGCCTGACCAACCAATACCATAGTTGCCTCTCACAAACAAGCATGGGTTGATGAAGACCAATTCTAACCACGATCTTCACAGGTCCTACATATTTGCACATTTCTTTTGATTGCTTCCATATTAACCTTCTATTTCTGTCTGACAATTCTCTTCATCTGAGTTGTCACCACAGTCGTCTCTTCCGTCACAACGCTGTGAGTCAGCCACACATTTCCTGACACTACGACACATGGATCGGCCACGGCCACATGGATTTTTGTTGGTGTCTGTTAAAAGTTGTGCAATGGTACATTTCAAAGGTAACTTTCAAAGAATAGTTAGTTTTGGGAATAAGTTAATTGTCATCATTAGAGAGAAGCAGTGTTAAAGAAGAAAAAATCCAGCCATCATTGAAAAGGCAACTTTCCTACTCCATACATTAAAGCCACTCCTACATATTTACTATTGTATTCTACCAACTACATATGCTTCTATATTAACCTTCTATTTCTGTCTGACAATTCTCTTCATCTGAGTTGTCACCACAGTCGTCTCTTCCGTCACAACGCTGTGAGTCGGCCACACATTTCCTGACACTACGACACATGGATCGGCCACGACCACATGGGCTGCTGTTGGGGTCTGAGAATATTATTGGGTGTCATCATTTGTGTACAATCTATTTTGGTGTTGGTCTATGTTTGCATCAAATAGGCAGATCGATAAACCATTTACAAGAAATTATGGCCTTTAAAGCAATTAAGATCCATTGGACTTAACGTCAGCACTATACTTGTTTGCTTAGTTTATAGTTAAGAGGCTGAGCTTGTTTGAAAATGACATCAGGTTGATGGATAAAACAAAACAACCTTCAGTTTTCGTTTGACAATTCTCTTCATCTGAGTTATCCCCGCAATTGTCATATCCGTCACACCGCTGTGAGTCGGCCACACATTTCCTGACACTACGACACATGGATCTTCCACGACCACATGGATTTCTGACGGTTTCTGGTGAATAAGTAATTGTAATTTTGTGATGAACATAAATTTCTCTAAATTCTCAAGATTGAAATAATTATATGTAAAACTGCCACTTTCAGTGTTCCTCATTGATATTAGATTTTCAATTAATATTATTCAAATTTTCAGTCTTACAGAATTTATAAGAATCTGGATTAACCTTCTTGATAAGTCTGACAGTTCTCTTCATCAGAATTATCGCCACAGTCATCGTATCCATCACAGCGACGTAAATCTGCCACACATTTCCTGACCCGGCGACAGGAGGATGATCCCGTCCCACACTGACTGACAGACCCACCTGGCAACCAGGTACGTACTATTGCTGTACATGCATTGTCATTCAGGCCACTGCTACTCGTTAAATTAATCAATTCTTTAACAAAAGCATTTAGATCAATTAGATTCATTATTAAAAGGTGGTATTGGACGAAATACTACTTCTACTACTAAAACAAGAAACATTCACCAAAACTGACGACCAGTACCATTGGCTACACAGTCTTCCTCATCGGAGTTATCCCCACAGTCGTCATGACCGTTACACCTCTGTGAGTCGGACACACACTTCCTGATGCGCCGACACATGGAGGCACCAGGGCTACACTCATCCCTCCCACCTGCAGGGGTAGCAGGTACATGCACAGTTACCACATGGACAACACAACGGTTACAAGGTTCATTGAGACATGGAAAACTGACATTCGAGGCCTTTTCAATGCTTTCAACTGTCATTCAATCTCTTTAAAATCAGATATTAGTTTTCGCTACCGCTAAACAAAGATGTGAGGACATCCCATTACGGGTCACATCAGAACGACTTTTCGCAAATTTTGACTGACCAATGAAATGACTGACAAGAAATCGACATTAGCCAATCAGAAGGCAGCTTTCTCGAGCTTTACGACACTAGTTTCGAAACTTATTTTGACGTATTCTCAATTAAAAAATTAAAACTGATAAGAAGAACATTCTGGAATGGTTTATAGATGGCCTAGATTGTAATGGATATAATCATAAAACCCGTAACTGTCGTTCAGGATACCACGTGTTAAATATTTCGTGGTTGCATGATTAGAAAACACATTCCGACTGTCACTTTCATAATCTGGTAATCGACGCTCTGATTGGTTGGATGAAAGGACGTTCTGACTTGACCTGTAATGGGATGTCCTCAGATCTTTGTTTAGCGGTAGCGAGAACTAAGATCTGATTTTAATGAGATTGACTGTCATTTTAAAGGCTTTTTAGGTGGGTAATTACCATAAGTGTGTCAATATTTTTTTTAATCCAGCATACTATGTATTTAAGACCTAAAAAGTATGAAAATCACAAATTTTCCATGGTTTATTTTCACAACCAACAAATAAATTAAAGTAAGTCTGTCATGAATTGTAATGCTTCTATAAACAAGTAGACATCATTTTCTACCAAGTCAAGGCTTTTCAAGCTATTTTGGTGATTGTCAAGGATTTTCAAGGTTGAATCTTAAAATCAAGGCTTTTCAAGAGGGACCTCAAAATTCAAGGTCTTTTTATGTCTGTATGAACCTTGGGTTAGTTCTGTTGAGTGAGTGAGTGAGTGAGTGAGTTAAAATTTAACGTCACATCGGCAATATTACAGCCATATCGTGATGAGTAAAGTTCTGTTGAAGAAGTGGTTGTTGGTACAGGTGCTACAGACATGTACCCCAGGTACTTTTCGGTATACAGAAATGTACCCTGTCCAAAATCAGAATACAGGGGTGAGTCCATTCGGCAGTCTGCTTAACAGGCTTTTTGAATGCCAAACCGCGGTAAAACCCAGCATGGCAGTATGCATTCACCTACATGTCTCCGAAAATGGGAGAGTTTCTTCATTTTCTGAACCAGAATTGTCATACTGTTGTGTGAGATCCCTTCCAGGATGCACAAACGAGCATATACACAGTGCTGTACGTTCTGTACTGTAAGACCAGAAAACACAACATGGTCCACAATCAGCACGGCAAACAAAACAACAAAATGAACCATTTTTGTTTTGAGGAATATGGACTCATCCTCCGTTTTGGTACCAAGTGCCAATCTGTATTCTGATATGGTTAATCATGGTACATTTCTGTATATCAAAAAGTACATGGGATACTTACCGTATTCGACATAATAAGCGCCAAGGCGCTCTTAAAATTAGAAATAGGGGGCTCTTATTAGAATATGATTTTGGTGGAGAAAAAAAACCAGAGTTGAAATATTGTAAATTTCATGGTTTAAGCTGACAGCCTGAAATGATACAAAAGAAAAGTCTGTGCGTATTATACACGACAGATATATTTTTCCAGAATTTAATTGCCCGTAATTAAGGGTGTATATAACGCACAAGTGTGTATTATACACGAAAAAATAAGTCTTGTGTACATTGATCAATCGGAAGGGTGCTTATTTGGATTGTTCACCAGCCAATATATTAGCAAATATCGCCGTGGGTGCTTACTAGAGCGGGGCACTTATTACGTCGAATATGGTATCTGTAGTACTCGAGCCGACAATGACTCCTTCAGCGTTAGTTTTGATGATTCAGATTGCTTCACACTTCATGTGTGTTAGTATAGTGATAAATACAGCCATTTGTCATACAAGTAGTGGAATAGATTTCCAAACATGATATTTCATAAACATTATTCGTGAAAGATGCATGTTTATTCTGCAGAGCATGCATGTCGTTGAACTTTGTAATTGATCTTTTTGGACTTGCATACTGAGTGCTGTTGTCTATTGATATTGTTTCTTGGGGAAGTGATTGTATCACTCTGGCTCAAATGGTGGCATTGTCAGTGTTTAGTATCTGTTGGAGGATCATTGCTGACTATCATCTGACATATCATTAGCTCAGTCAGCCAAAGAATTATTGATTAATGACTTCATGCGAGATAGTTATCATGCTGTCACCTTTTGATTACATGTGTTAGATGTAGCATTCACTCATCACTTGTAGCCAGGTTTAAAATGATAGAAATCCTAGGAATCGACTCAGATTTTACGGTCTCTGATATAATATTTTACTTATTTCGCAGCTATATACAGCTATTTACAGCCACATGCCGGGCAGTGACACTGCTGATAATCTCCCATGTAGAGAAGCTTAATCAAATATGGATCATGCATGGTATCAGAAAAAAATGTAGTTATCTTTCCACACCTGACTTATCCCTATGGAAACAAAACACATCAGTTCGTTTTCTTTGCAATAAATTTCAATTGTGTTAGGACCTGTCATTTATCTCAGAGAAAGATGGGTCAGAAGGAATCAGGGAGGGTCACAAAAAATAATACCCATATTTGGGGTCATGAAAAAAATGGACATTTTCTAGTAAAATATATCGCTTTTACATTTTTTCTTTTCATGGAGGGTCATGAAAATTACAAGCACATGGGGAAAGTCACCAAAAAAATGACAAACATTACTAAAGGGTAATTATTTTCAGTACATTACTGGATTAAAACCTCCGACCCACCCCCTCCCTTAATAAATGACTGGTCCCTTGCCTCTTAATGTATAGCGAAACACAGGCTGAGCTTGAAGCTATGTTTTAAGCTGTGGCTGTATCAAGTGATGAGTGCATGATGAAATGGATGAGAGATGTCAGCTGAGCATGCAGGCTGTGTCTCTACCTGTGCTTTGACAGCCATCTTCATCTGAGTTGTCTCCGCAATCATCGTGTCCATCACACCGCTGAGAGTCCGCCACACATTTCCGGATACTACTACACATAGATTGGCCTGTCCCGCACTGCTTGTTGGCGTCTTCCATGGAAAACAAGACGTCATGTGACTGAGCGTGTGTATGTGTGTGTAGCGGCCATAACATTTCCGAGTCTCGTGATGGGATTCGAACCATGGACCTACTGATCAGAGGTCGGACGCCTTGTCCGCATGACCAAAGAGGTTAACCCCGTCAGCAAGCTGACAAGGTAAGAATGTCATCTGTGGGATGACTCCACGCCCTGCTACATATTCCCCCGTAAACAGAAGGCACGTCCCAGGCCACATAGTAGGGTACTGTGGCTTATTTGGCTCAAATTTAATATGAACGTGCTCAGCCCCACGTTGGGCCCCAATGTAGCGGCCATAATTTCCGAGTCCTGTGATGGGATTCGAACCATGGACCTTCTGATCAGAGGTCGGACGCCTTGTCCACATGACCAAGGAGGTTAACTCCGTCAGCAAGCTGACAAGGTAAGGATGTCATCTGTGGGATGACTCCACACCCTGCTTATGTGCATGTGCAAGTGCGTGTGCATGTGCATGTGCAAGTGCGTGTACATCTGGGTGTGCGAATGTGTTGGTGTGTAAGTTTGTTGCTTAATGACGCACTCAGCAATATTCCAGCTATATGACAGTGGCTGTTTATATTTGAGTCGAGACCAGACAATCCAGTGATTGATATTGTGAGCAGTGATCCATGGAATCTGGGAATGATGACACGCACACCTCCCGATGCATTCAGTCACTTCCTACAACCAGTACTGGGTTACTGGGGACCTATTCTAACCCGGAATCCCACGGGGAGACAAGCATAGGTTACTGGGGACCTATTCTAACCCGGAATCCCCACTGGGTTTATGTGACTATTTAATCATTAATTTGGAAATTTTCAAAAGTTTCAATAAGATCCACAGCTAGACATGTGTGCAAGCACATCACAGTGACTCCCTGCGAACTGTAGTTACAACCAGGCGCAACATGTCTCATGATAATCTAGCTCTTAGGTTTTTGCCGAACTAGGCTGGAATTTCCAGGCACCATCGTAGCGCCACTAGTGGCTATTACAACCAATCAGATTCCATCTCTCATATCACATGCATTCGCTTCAAACAAAATGGTGGCACCAAGTCAAATCGTTATGATCGATAATCAAGCTCTATATTGTAATAAAATGGGTCTTACCCCGCAAAGTGAATCAGATCACTTGAGCACATAATTAATGACATAATAAAACACAAAATTTCTGTCAGAGCCCAGTTGGCGGTACACATGTTTTGCAAATCCTGCAGTCAATTGAAATCTGCCTGTTGAAATCATTATGCGATTTTGATTGGACTATGCATAGACTCGCATATGCATAAAATGTAACTCCAGAATTCCAGCCTAGTTCAGCAAGGGTGGAAACTGGATGCAGAGCTCCAGATAAGATTTTGGTGTTGTGGGTATTTTACCCATGCATTTTAAAAGCATTGGGTATCAGTAATTCTATCTGGGTATTCAAATTTCTGTTATCCACTAGTTTTTACACATGTGGGTATTTAAGTTGAATATTTAAAATCACTATTCATCTAGTCCCTGCAAACTGGTGTCGTGTGGGTTTCGAGAGCTTTATAGGACTCAAAAATACGATACTTCCACAAGAAAGTGTGATGGCAAATGATCATGACTGTCATCGTGGAGTTTGGCAAGCTTGACGGAATGTCCATTAATAATTTCAAAATAAGTTGCTGATTTGCTACTAGGGTTACTTCACAATATTTTGATGATACGCACAAGTTTTATTTTTGTAGCGTATCTGTAATGTTCGTTGCGTATTTGATAGGCTTGGATTTTATTTTACGGTTTATTTCTGCATTTCTGATGCGTATTTTACGCAGATACGCAGCTTATCTGGAGCTCTGTGGATGTTAAGAGTCAGTTAACGCCCTTGCCTCGGGAGGATGTTCGTTTCACGAGAGGCTTACAAGTTATCAGTCAACCCTCGTACCATGTTTCACCACCTACCTATTGTCTGACACTGCTCTTCATCAGAATTGTCCCCACAGTCATTGAAGCCATCACACAGCCGAGTGTCGGGGATACACTTCTCGATGTTCCGACACCGGGAACTGCCCGGGCTGCACGGGGCGCCGCCTGAAGCAAGAAGTTATGGAATTGGTCATGAAGCAGTCTCTGACTTCAGCCCCTGCCCAAAGCCTGAGTTTAGCAATACTCTGTTTTATTAAACCCAGCTAGTAATAGTTTAATAATAACATCAAAATCAACACTAAATGATGGATAAAACAAACAAAACAAAACACATTAAATCATCCTGACAGCCAAAATCAGGCTAGTAGACTCAAAATATATCTGTAACGGACTAGTATATGCATAAATATGTGCATATGTTTATGTTCCAGTCTATATGTGACGATCAAGGTTAGAGTTGATCTTCAGCAACCCTTGCTTCTCGTAAGAGGCAACTAATGGGATCGGGTGGTCAGGCTCACTGACTTGGTTAATGCATGTCATTGTAACCCAATTGTGTAGATCAGTGCTCATGATGTCAATCACTGGATTGTCTGGTCCAGACTTGATTATTTACAGACTGCCATCATATAGGTGGAATATTGCTGAGTGTGATTAAGCAACAAACAAACAAATTATTTGTGTATGAGCCAGTATAGTGCATTGCATATTGGTTCATTCAATCTGCAGTCATATCACAGAATGTTCACAAAAATTCATTTAAATACCTGCTCTCCTCAATTTTAAAAATGTTGATTCTGTCTTATTCAAAGAACTTCTTTTTTATTAAACTTGTTGTTTGCAGATTATTTGATACTGAAAAAAGTACATTCTACATTTCAGCTCCAAATGTCTTTAATAAGTTTGATCATAGTTACAACATTCAAGTCCTCAGCAAAGCTTTCAAAAAAGTATGACAGACATGTGGAGGACAATTCCAAATTTGATGCATCAGTGTTGACTTGCATTTGCATGAGTTTGTGACCAACAAGGCAGGATATGCTCATCTTGTCACAAACACCTGGTATCATCACAATTTGATAGTTATTCATAAAACACATGCTCATGATACAGCATGAATCATACAATCGACCCTGCTTCTAGCAAAGATTTCTTATGAATGTGGAAAGTTTCTTGTCGCTTTTATTTAATCCTACAACGAAACAAACCAAGTGGGACCAGTTGCAGCTAGATCAGAACATTCTCCTTGAATACTCCATAAACCCTCGATAATGAGGTCTTTCTTAGGCGGTGGTATGAATAAATAACATCTTCTTAATTAAAATGAAACGAAAACAGAATGCATTGTCAAACAGCTGTAATTGTCCCTGTGGTGGATAATGGAAATCTAAGTAATTATATACTTTATCATAGAGCTTGGCAGTGGCTGTAAAATCTTGCTACACTTGCAGATCATTGCAGCTATACTGCTCATCTCAGCTAGCAGTCATTCATAAGACAAGTTAATCAGTCTTGGCTGTTTATAAAGAAACCATTGCTGCCAGTTTATAAATGAGTCAGTCATGGAATCATGTTGTATTATTCTTCATTTGAGTAAATTAAAGACAAGGTATTCAGTTTGTATGTCTGAGTATTACAAATGTAGCACTATATACGAAAGGCACACATGATAAACATTCCCCTCTGGGAAAGGAAAATACATATTTGACAACCTTTGAACCCGGTGGTAAACAAACATGAGATATTTGATAGGTGCATGCCAGGGAAACCTATACCTCCCTGTTTATTTTGAGACATAAACAAAACTTACTGCAGGTACAATCTGTTAATGTGAAATGGGCATTCTAAGAGGAGTATTCGCTTTTACAAAATGGTTTTGTTAATTTTCAATGTTACCAATGAATAGTCAGTATATAATCAGTCTGAGCATTAAACCTAAAAATGCTATGGTGAATATTAAAAACGAAAAATACAAAGTTCCTTTAGTTTGAAGGAAATTCATTTTGGAGAATTTGAAAATGTCATGAATAGTAATTAATGTAATGTACGTACAGGGAACCAGACAATCCAGTGATTGATATCACAAGCAACAATCCACGCCACTGGGGTTTGTTCTAATACAGATCTCTTTGAGACAGAAACATCACTCTGAGTTATATGCCTTCCAATTCAAATACCTTTCAAGATATTTAGGGGTTAAAAAATATGTTGGTTGGTTGGTTTGTTGTTTTACGCCGCACTCAGCAATATTCCAGCTATATGACGGCAGTCTGTAAATAATCGAGTCTGGACCAGACAATCCAGTGATTAATATCATGAGCATCGATCCACGCAATTGGGATCGATGACATGCATCAACCAAGTCAGCGACCACCCGATCCCATTAGTCTCCTCTTATGACATGTATAGTGGCCTTTTACGGCAAGCATGGGTTGCTGAAGACCTATTCTACCCCGGATCTTTACGGGTATAAAAAATGTGTATGTCCATGACCACTGACTCATGAGATCACACATTTGCCTCACCAAAATAAATCAGCAATAAATCCAATGACTTGCAAACTGTATTTGCCATGGATCTTTTTGTTTATATTCCATGAGTGAGTGAGTGAGTTGGGTTTGACACCGCTTTTAACATTATTCCGATATATCACGGCGTGTCAGTTTAATGTGGGAGGAACGTCCGAAGTGATGCAGGTCTCAGACGTTTACCACTTCGGTGAAACCCACGAGCACGGGTATGGTGCTGACAAACCTAGAAACATAATCAGGGTGAACCGGGATTCGAACCCACAATCATAGGTTTCTGGCATGTCCAGGGGATGCAACTCTGCACAGCAAATTGCGGCGCCTTAGATGACTGGGCCACCCGTGCCCCCTATATTCCACGAAGACTTGTGACTGACAACTGACACCAGTGATGGATATTATGAATATCGCCATCAGTTCATTCACAATTCCTCAAACCATTTTATTATCGTGTGATTGACAGTATTTTCTCTAAGACAAACTACAGAGTTGTAATATTGTGAAATTGTTTGAATGCTCAGGAGAGTCAAATTTAGGAATCAACATGACACGGAAAAAGAAATAATTAGCCCCATAGTTTCTTGTGAATGATATGCAACTCCCAATTACAGGACATGATTATTTACAGTGTTATTTCTTGCTACGCTAGGTATTTTGTATATGCAGGGATCTCTACTACCGTGTGTGTTTTTCACATATAAAACGGTGTATATACGTTAGCCCCGGTGAATCAGTTAAACATATCCTACATACGGCAATAACTCAAATGATGTTGATGTTAATGATACATTTATTCGTTCCCTGACCGCTAGGGTTTGTTTAATAATTAATAACAGTAATTATCATTTGAGTTATTACATACGGTAATGACTCAAATGATGTTGATGTTAGTGATACATTTATTCGTTCCCTGACCGCTGAGGTTTGTTTCAAAGCATCAATAGCCGTAAGCTGATCATGGTTGCAGTAAATACTGGTGAGTTGGTGCGATCAGATGCTTAGATAACACACAGTTTTGCCAAAATTAATGTAAACAACAGTGAATAAACTTAATAGAAAAAAAGAATAAAAAAATAAAGCAGGAAAAACACTGAATAGTTTTAGTAACCTGTGTAACAGGACTTCAGGACAGACTTGTTGACATGCCATTTCTGGTGTAAGTGTCAGCGGTGATGTTTCTTTTTTATGGAACAAAATAAAGAGGCATTGTCATGTGTATGACATGTACCCCTTTCCACACAACTGTATTTGTTTTGTGGAAAAATAGGTTATTATACACATTAAACTACAGTTCTTGTCTTTTTATTTAATGTTTTATGTTGAAATATAGAGCCAGATTACATAATATAAGCACTATTTTTTTAAATTTTGATATGAAAAATGAATACATTATTTTACTTAATTAGTTCTACTTTCTAAATTAAATGACCCTTAGCCGGTGAAATTTCAGAGAGGACAGAAAAAGGATTTACCAGTGCCTCAAGTATGATTTATTTAGCTTTAACTGACCACAAAACTGGCCTGACTTCCATATATCTTTGACTTACCAAGAAAACTTTCTGTAAATCCATGATGTATGGACACACATTTATTTTGACACCCCACCCCCCACCCACCCACACACCCCCACCCACACACCCCATTGTGGTTCCTTCAACAAATTACATGTATCTCCCACATCCACATACACATACACACTTTCTCAGACTGTCTGTGTCCTCTAACGTCAGGAACTCTGGCAGTGTCAGATATGTTTTCTTACAATCATGACATGCTTGTAGAGAAACAATTTGTACATGTCACTTTACTTGCACTGTCTTCATTTTTTAAAATCAACAATATACATTTTTCATCCAATTTGGAGAGATTTAATGTTAAGACCGAAATACCAGATGCGAGAGACATAATTGTAGAAAAACAATTTGTACATGTCATTGTCTTCATTTTTTTCAATCAACAATATACATTTTTCATCCAAATTGGAGGGATGCTTTTGGAAGATTTAATGTGAAGACTGAAATACCAGATGTGAGGTAGCAGGCATCACAAGATGCCGAAAACATCTAGTTGAGTGCATGAAATATTATATATTGAACTAGAACGAGGTCAAGACACTGAGAAACAACGCAGAATAATACACCTAGTTTATCACTTTAAATGCTGAAACAAGCTCTTTAGCATATAAGTTTCATGCACACATGGTGAAAAAATATATAAAACACTGTCGATAGTGCCAGTTAAACTGTGTGAACCATCAGCACTGGGATACCGTATTCGACGTTATAAGCGTCCAGGGCGCTCTCAAAATTAGACATAGGGGACTCTTATTAGAATATAATTTTGGTGAGAAAAAAAACCAGAGTTGAAAGATCGTAAATTTCGTGGTTTATGCTGACAGCCTGAAATGATACAAAAGAAAAGTCTGTGCGTATTATACACGACAGATATATTTTCCAGAATTTAATTGCCAATAATTAAGGATGCATATAACACATGAGTGCATATTAAACACAAATAAATAAGTGTACATTGATCAATCAGAAGGGGTGCTAATTGGGATTGTTCACTATCTAATATATTAGCAAATATTGCTTATTAGAGCAGGGTGCTTATTGCGTTGAATACAGTAATTGCATC